TGCAGAAAGTGACTGTTTGCTCAGCGTGTCTGTGGGATGAGGTGAGCTCAGGATTCTCCTCCTCCACCAACCTCCTCCTGTCTCTTGTGAAAATACTTATTTAGAAACATAATTTTGCTGAAATGATGGCAAGAAAAATGTATTTTGTAAAATAAATATCTACTTCTGTATAACTTACATATCACTGAAATATTTATGCCTTCCCTCCCGCCCCAAACTCGTATGTTGAAATCCTAACCCCTAAGAAGTTGAGGCCTTTGGGAGTTGATTATGTCACAAGGGTGGAGCCCTCTTGAATACAACCAGTGCCATTATAAAAGAGATCCCATAGAGCTCCTACCCTCTGCCACGTGGGGATACAGAGGAAGTCTAAGACCCAGAAGAGGACCTTTACCTGAGTCTGCTAGCACCCTGATCTCAGACTTCCAGGCTCCACAACCATGAGAAAGAATTTCTGTAGTATTCTGTATTCTGTTATAGCAGCGCAGACATCCATCCACTGGACCTCCAGATATGTAATAATTTAATTCGTCCATCTTTTTTTTTTAATATTTTTTTTTATTTTTTATTTTTTTTTATTTTATAAATTAATTTTTATTGGTGTTCAATTTACCAACATACAGAATAACACCCAGTGCTCATCCAGTCAAGTGTACCCCTCAGTGCCCGTCACCCATTCACCCCCACCCCCCGCCCTCCTCCCCCTCCACCACCCCTAGTTCATTTCCCAGAGCTAGAAGTCTTTATGTTCTGTCTCCCTTTCTGATATTTCTCACACATTTCTTCTCCCTTCCCTTATATTCCCTTTCACTATTATTCATATTCCCCAAATGAATGAGAACATACACTGTTTGTCCTTCTCCGGTTACTGTGGCCAAGTTCAAAAAGGGTGTTGCCTGAGTTCTCCTCTGGGATTTTGATGGAATCTTGTCTCACATTTAGATCTTTCATCTATTTTGAGTTTATCTTTGTGTATGGTGCAAGAGAGTGGTCCAGTTTCATTCTTCTGCATGTGGATGTCCAATTTTCCCAGCACCATTTATTGAAGAGAGTGTCTTTCTTCCAGTGGATCGTCTTTCCTCCTTTATCGTATATTAGTTGACCATAAAGTTCAGGGTCCACTTCTGGGTTCTCTGTTCTGTTCCATTGATCTATATGTCTGTTTTTGTGCCAGTACCACACTGTCTTGATGAACACAGCTTTGTAGTACAACCTGAAATCTGGCATTGTGATGCCCCCAGATATGGTTTTCTTTTTTAAAATTCCCCTGGCTGTTTGGGGTCTTTTCTGATTCCACACAAATCTTAAAATAATTTGTTCTAAGTCTCTGAAGAAAGTCCATGGTATTTTGATAGGGATTGCATTATACGTGTAAATTGCCCTGGGTAACATTGACATTTTCACAATATTAATTCTGCCAATCCATGAGCATGGAATATTTTTCCATCTCTTTGTGTCTTCCTCAATTTCTTTCAGAAGTGTTCTATAGTTTTTAGGGTATATTTTGAGAACCATTTGAATGGTAAATGGTTCTCCAGCCTTTTATTTTCAGGTTGTAGGTGTCCTTCTGTCTAAAATGAGTCTGGGGCCCCACGGGGTAAACAACCCCCGCTGAGCCCTGCAGCAGGCAGGGGCAGAGCAGCTCCCCCAAGTGCTAACACCTGAGAATCAGCACAGCAGGCCCCTCCCCCAGAAGACCAGCTGGACGGACCAGTGATACTCCCCCGGGTTCCAATACAACTTGTTTCTGGCCACTCTGCACTGAGCAAAATGACTAAAAGGAAAACCTCACCTCAAAAGAAAGAATCAGAAACAGCCCTCTCTCCCACAGGGTTACAAAATCTGGATTACACTTCAATGTCAGAAAGCCAATTCAGAAGCACTATTCTACAGCTACTGGTGGCTCTAGAAAAAAGCATTAAGGACTCACGAGACTTCATGACTGCAGAATTTAGATCCAATCAGGCAGAAATTAAAAATCAATTGAATGAGATGCAATCCAAACTAGAAGTCCTAACGACGAGGGTTAACGAGGTGGAAGAACGAGTGAGTGACATAGAAGACAAGTTAATGGCAAAGAGGGAAACTGAGGAAAAAAGAGACAATCAATTAAGGGACCATGAAGACAGATTAAGGCAAATAAATGACAGTCTAAGGAAGAAAAACCTACGTTTAATTGGGGTTCCCGAGGGCGCCGAAAGGGACAGAGGGCCAGAATATGTATTTGAACAAATCCTAGCTGAAAACTTTCCCAATCTGGGAAGGGAAACAGGCATTCAGATCCAGGAAATAGAGAGATCCCCCCCTAAAATCAATAAAAACCGTTCAACACCTCGACATTTAATAGTGAAGCTTGCAAATTCCAAAGATATAGAGAAGATCCTTAAAGCAGCAAGAGACAAGAAGTCCCTGACTTTCATGGGGAGGAATATTAGGGTAACAGCAGACCTCTCCACAGAGACGTGGCAGGCCAGAAAGGGCTGGCAGGATATATTCAGGGTCCTAAATGAGAAGAACATGCAACCAAGAATACTCTATCCAGCAAGGCTCTAATTCGTCCATCTTTGACATTTTTGCACTTCTTAGTCATATAAAAATCATATCTTTAAACATATTTCATAATGTCACCATATGAGGCTACATTTGTCAAGGTAAAGGATAAAACATATTTTGTTTTTAGCTTGATTCATAACTTTTACTAGCTATGTGGAACATGGGCTTCCATTTGTCCCAAGTGACTAGAAACAGGCCAGGATAGCCTGGAATAATTTAAAATATATTTGTAATCCTTATGAATGAAAATATATTACAGCCACCCATTTAAAAACAGATTCTATGCTACACATAGTAGGTACAATGACGACAAAATGACAGGGGAAAAAGAGGTTAAATATAAACGATTGAAAAAAATATATATATACTGAGGAAATGCTACAAAAAAGAAAGTAGATGAGATAATATTAGTATTAGATAATGTAATAGAATTCAAGGCCAGAAATATTAACTGCATATATATGGACTTTATATTGGTGGAATATATAATTATATACACCTAACAAGACAGCCATCAGCTGTTATAATAGTTTCAAAATATAAGATAAATAGGCAAATTCATAATTATAGTGATATATTTTAATATACCTCTCTGAGTAATCAACAAATAATTCAATAAGAGAAATGTATGGGGTTTGAGCAAATAACCCAGTAGTTTAGCAGTCTAGATGGGTGATAGAATCATAGATACACAAAGAGGTACATTTATGCATATGTGGTAGGTAGGTAGGTAGGCTGACTGATTTACCCAGTGGGGGCTATAAATATTACAAACACCCATGGATTAATTTGAGATCTTACATCACATGCAGCAAGAATGGAATGTTTGAACTGGCATTGGGATAATAGAATGAAGGAGGTAGGGGCAGATTTCCATTTAAATAGGGAGATCTGAGGACTGCCTGGGTGCCTCAGTCGGTTAAGTGACCAGCTCTTGGTTTTGGCTCAGGTTGTGATCTGAGGGTCATGAGACTGAGCCCCAGGTCAAGCTTCACACCTTGCCCACAGTCTGCTTGGACTCTCTCTCCCCCTGCTCTCTCCCTGTTCTCTCTTGCTCTCTCTCATTCTCTCACCCTCTGTCTCTCTTTCTAAAATAAGTAAATAAATCTTTAAAAAATGAATGAATGAGTGAATGAATGAATGATAGGGAGCTCTGAGTAGGATTTGGTGATCAGTGACTTGCAAGGAACAGGTGGTTGAGAGGAGACATTCTGGGCAGAAGGACCTGAGGGACCAGCCTGCGCAAAGGCTCTAGAGTAGGGAAGTGCTTAGTGAGTTTGAAAACAAGTAAGGCAGCGCTTAAATCCCTCTGACAGTGCCCTTCACATGTGGGTCTCTCTGCATGAAATACCCTCTGCCCCCTTCATAGAAAATGTCCACACATCCTACAAAGTAGGCTCAGAGTTCATCCTCCATGAAGGCCCTTGGTTCTCCCAGGAAGAATGTGTCCCTCTGTCCTTCATGCCCACAGCACTTGGCCCATAGCTCAATCTCTGTGTATATCACATTGTGGCTTTTGGTTTTCATGTTTGACTCCCACCACCAAACTAGAACTAATGAAAGGCAAAGACTTAGTTCTGCTTCCCAGTAGGTCAGGCTCAGTACCTAATACGCTCAGTAAGTATTTATGGATCAAATGAAAGATGTCCTGTATTAAACACTACAATTCCTCTTTTTGCTACTCGTTTCCTGTCTTTCATGCAAACATCAGGTGTGTTCCTGAGCATCTTCCATGTCTCTGTATTATGAAGAGCAAATGGAAAATTATCAATCCCTGCTCTGGTAGAGCTGAGAGGATCGATACAGATGTGATGGGAGGAGAAAGGTAATTAACAGCTCTCTTAGGAAAACACAAAATGGATGTAATCTCCAATCGCTGAGATTTCTTGAAGAATCTCCATTGGCTGAGTCTGGCAGGATGTATGGGATTGGCTGCTGAGCCGGAAGGAGAAAGGTATCAGGGTGACACAGAGGTAAGAAGTAGTAAAGCCAGGGCAATGAGGGTGTGGGTGCAGGGCCACAAGGGGCCCGAGTGAAAGAGCAGAAAGGAGTGGGCCTAGCCAGGGCAGCTGGGGTTGGAACCCCCCCACCTCAAAGTGAGGCCCAGAGACCAAAGGGCTGTTTGTTCTCTGGGAATGGAGCCACACAATGCAGTCTGCACTTTGACAGCTTTGTCTGAGGGTGCAGAGTGGGCTTGATGGGAAAGAAAATATGGAGCTCAAACCACACAGGATCTGTTCCCCAAGGCCCTGGGTCCTATGGGGCGTGGCAGCAGCCTGAGGTCAGGTCTGCATCACTCAGCAACCCCAAACCCTACTGAGCACGTGAAATGTGACTAGTCCAAGGTAAAACACATTTTAAGTTAAAATACACGCTGGACTTAGAAGGCTTAGCATGAAAGAAAAGTATCTTATTAATTACAGAGTGAAATGATATATATCATTTAAATTTATTTATTTATTTATTTATTTATTTATTTGAGAGAGAGAGAGTATATGGGGAGGGGAGAGAGAATATCCAAGTCGACTCCCTGCTGAGCATGGAAACGGATCCAGGGCTTGACCTCAGGAGCCATGACATCAGGACCTGAGCTGAAACCAAGAGTCAGTCGCCTAACTGACCAAGCTACCCAGGCGCCCCACTGATAATATGTTAAATCTATTGGGATAAAGGAAATGTATTACTACACTTAGTTTCACCCAAGTCGTACTTTGTTTATGTGGCTACTAGCAACTGTAAAATTACATGTGTAGCTTGACTTATGCTTCTCTTGGATAATGCAGCTATTAAATGGGGATAATTGAGTGCCTACTTCAGTGGGTTGCTATAAAGATTAAATGAGGTCATAATTATAAAAGGTTTAGCCTGGTGCCTGACAAAGAGCAAATAGTCACAAAAAAGAGGACCACCAAGCTATGACTGCACAGTGTATTTCATTGCCGCTATACATCCTAATTTTTGTTCCCACATTTCTGCAGCTTGGACACCAGGATGCACCCTACAGTTGACAGTGGAGTCACCTGTTCCCAGTTATAAAACATATTTGTCCCTGCCTGTGTACCCAGGTGCTCTACACTTCTCTTCCTTTAAATCCAAGATCAAATGACCCCTAAAATATCATAATATTAATGACTAGCACTTATCTTTTTCTTTGTCCTATGACTCTTCTCTATCATACTAACATACAGAATTTCTTTATGTTTGTTGCTTATTGTCTCTCATTTAGACTGAGCATTCCATGTTCATCTAGGTGGTTCTTTGCTGTCTCTCGAGCCCCTAAAACAGTGCTTGGCACACACTGAATAAATGAGCAAATGGCGATGCCTGGGTGGCTCAGTGGCTCAGCAGCGGTTGAACATCTGCCTTTGGCTCAGGGTGTGATCCTGGGGTCCTGGTATCAAGTCCCACATCAGGCTCCCTGCATGGAGCCTACTTCTCCCTCTGCCTATGTCTCTGCGTCTCTGATGAATAAATAAATAAAATCTTTTTTTTAAAAAATGAGCAAATGAATGAAATCCTTTTATGTGATAGGCATTGTTCTAAGTGTTTGGCAGGGATTATTTCATTTAACATTTACAAGAAACCTAAGGTAGATATTACTATCATTCACATTCTCCATTAAGGAAACCAATGTATTCAAAGTTCCGGTCACCTGTCCACGGTCACACAGCTTGTCATCAGGGGAGGTAGGATTCAAGCCATCTGGCCCCAGAACCTACACCTTTATCTGGTACACTTTGCTGCCTTTCCAATAGCTCCTACTCTGGTTCGTTAGAGGACAGTATGGCCTATGGCCTATGTCTTCCACTAGACTGAGCTTCTCAAAGGCTGAGATCCATTCTCATTTGTCCTTTTCCCCCACAGCCTAGCACTGTGCCTGGCACTGAGCATGTGCTTCATGTCTCTGAAATAAGCCAGCTATACGAATATAGAGCAAGAAGCATGAGAGAAATTTCACAGGTTTCTAACTGGCAGACAAAGGACCAGTGAAAAGGAAGAGTATAGAATGGGAAACTCTTATGGAGAGAGGACATTATGGGTCCAGTTTTGAGCTTATTGGAGTAATGGAAGGACAGTCCAAGAGGGATTGGGAAAGAGAAAAGTGGCCCAAAGTTTCCTTTAGGACAAAAACGTAGACTCACAGGTCTTTCTGGCAGAAGTGGTAGCTGAAGCTAGGAGAGTGAATCAGCCTGCCCAGGAAAACAGAGCAAAGGAAATGCAAGCAAAGAAAAAAATGAAGAAGGGAAAAGGATGGCTCCTTGGAGCATAGCTCTAGTTCACGGAAGGAAAAAGACCAGGAGCTGGTGCCGAGATGCAAAGGAAATTCAGAAGGGTCTCTGCAGCACCGCTGAAGTCAGAGGATCTTTCCCCAGTTTCTGTCCCAGTGTAGGTGTCTGTGACACTGTTTTGTAAAACAGTACAGATTATAAATAAAAAGTCCGTGGGCAGCAACCGAAAAAACAGCACCTATATTTTCAGCGCTCCCGGGTCTGTCTGGCCCTGCCCAGCAGTGATTTGAGGGATATACTCAGTTCTGACTGGAGCTGTACCCACAGGAAGTTTTCCTCTGGGTGGCAAGAGCCAGCACAGCCCTCCTCCCACTGACTTCTCCCCGCCTCCTCTCGCCTCCAAGCAGGTTGGGAGACTACACTCCCATGTGTCAAGACAACACATTTGATATCATCTTTTGGCACTCCCTTTCTTACTTGCCCACAGCCTTCCACATTTTATAAGGGGAATCTAGCCTTTGCAGTTCTTATCCAGAATTGTGTTTTTGTTCATTTGCCTTATCGGCATCTCAAAATTTCTCTTTCCTTAGTTGTTTTGGCTCCGTTGGAGAAATCTGTGTTTCTCAGTTGGTGAAGCATGGACTCTTGATTTTTCACCTAGAAGAGCATGTAAGATATTAAATCTATTAAAAATATAGTAGACACATTGTAAACGATCTGGGCAATCATTATTTTTATCTTTCTGTATACTAAAGATGACCTTTTTCAGACTAAACAATTACTCTATTTGTTTAAAAATTGTGACATATAGGAGGGCACCTGGGTGGCCCAGTTGGTTGAGCATCAGACTCTTGGATTTGGCTCAGGCCCCACATTGGGCTCTGAGCTCAGTGGGGAGTCTGTTTTAGATTCCCTCTCTCCCTCTCCCTCTGCCTTTCCTCTCCCACCCCAAATAAATAAATAAATCTTCAAAAAAGCTATGTATCATTCATACAGAAAACTGGATAAAACACACTTGTACAGTTTATTTAAGGAATAATTATAAAACAAACACCCAAGACCAGAAACAAAACTTTGTCAGCACCTCAGAAGGTCCCTGTTCATTTCATCCTGATCATATCCCATTTTCCTTTTGTTAATGATTTTACTACTTACGAATGTATCCAGGATAGCTGAGTTTCGCAGTTTTTGGACCATATGTAAGTGGAAATACACAGTATCTATTCTTTGGTCGACTTGCTCTTTTTACTCCATAGGAGATATATCATATTATTGTAAATAGCTATAAATGCTCCTTTCATTGCTGCATATTTCAGAATATGACTATACCATAATTTATTTGATTGTTGGTGTAAGTTTGGGTTGTATGTTGTTTTTAGCTATAACAAAGATGCACATGTATAAGTGACTGTGCAGAATAGAATTTGAGTCAGAGTGAATGTGTATCTTTAATCTTTAAATGTCACACTCTTGTCCAAAGTATCAATTGTATCAATTTATAGTATCATTTGTGTATGAGGATCCTTCCTCTTCATCCTTCTCAAACTTGTTACTAATTTTTAAATTATTATTGGGTCTGGTTGGTGTCTAACAGTGTTGCATTGTGATCTGAATGTTCATGTTTGTGGTTACTAACAAGGATGTATGTACCTTCTTATGTTGCTCGTTTGTATTTCTTCTTTGGTACTAGCCCATTTAAGCCTTTTGCCTATTGTAAAAACTATATTTGTCTCTTTCTTGTTAATCTCCAAGTGTTCCTTATATAACCTGGGTACCAATTCTTTGTCTTACAAACTTCCACGTTGTGGTTTTGTCTTTTCCACTTGCTTTATGGTATTATTTGGTAAACAAAAGTTCTTAATTTTAATGTAGCTGAATTTATTGATCTTTTCCTTTATGGCTAAAATTTTTTTTTTCTTGACCCCAAAGTCATAAAAATATTCTTCCGTAGGTCCATGCATTTTCTCTGACATTCTTGGAGCCAGATGTGTTTTGTTCTTTGGACATTGGAAAGGTACTATGGAACACATACAACATATTTATGTAACATTCTCAAAAAGAACTGGGAGACTACCTATACTCAAAAACCAATATTTAAACATTACTATTTCTGTAGCAAAACCTATGTTACCTAACTAATATATAAATAATGACTATAAAGAGCTTCCTATCACTAAGCCACATTTTTCACCTAATGAGTTCCAGAGTTTGGTGTTTCTGAAGTGTGGGGATTTTGTAATCAGCACAGGTTATGGCAGCCTCATACAGTAAGGATGGAATTATTTTAAAGTTTAGAGGAAACCGCTGGTGGTGACATGGACCTGGAATTTGCGTGTGAAGATTCTTTCCTACTGATTTAAATTATGGTTTAAGAAGATTCATATTTTCTATTCTTGAGTAAGCCAGTTGCTTTTCTTGAAATTTGTGCATTTGTCTAAATTTTTTTTGTCTAAATGTTAAATTGTTTATAAGATGTCCTAACTTTTTTGACGTATATAGCTTTCATTATTGATAATAGGTTAAATCTTTTATTGTTCAATACTAAGATATTTATCAAAATTGACTAATAGACTAATAAAATTACTAGTCTTCTCTTAAGAAAAAAAAAAAAAAAACTTCCGGATTTTTAAATCATTGTGTGCTGTGGTCTGCTAGAGGATTGGCTCTGAACATACCAAAACAAAACACCAGCCTGTTTGTTGATTTGCATAGAGTGAATATTATCATGGACAACTTCAAGCCACTAATTTCATGTTAGTGGCCATGGAGTAGGGGAAATGTATGCACAGTTGATTCTTCAGAGCCAGTAACAGATGGTTTCCCACACATTGCTTTTGTTACCCATTTTGTTCATTCCTGCTCTTAATATTATTTCTGTCATTTTACTTTTTATTTTCCTTTTTCTGACTTCCTGAAAAGGGATGTTTAGCTAAGGACTTTTTAAGCCTCTTTTCTAATATATTTTGGGCTATAAATTTTCCTCTATGTCTTGTTTTAGCTGCATCCCACAGGCATCACTGTTGTATTTTATTGTTCATCTCTTGTTATCATTATGACTCCTTCTCTGACCAGGATTTATATGGATTTGTTATAATTCTTTATTGATTTCTAGCTTAGTTGTGTAATGGTCAAAAAACATGCTGAATGATTTCAATCTTTAAAATTTATTAAGACTTGCTTTACAGCTAAGGATGTGGTTGATTTGGGGATGTTTTGCTTTCAAAAAACATATTCTAATTTTGGTTGTGTTCTGTGTATATTCATTAGGTCAAGTTTATTATTCATATTCAAATTTTCTGTATCCTTACTGATTTTTCTTGTCTTAAAAATCACTGAGAAGGCTTATTAAGGTAACCTGACAGAATTATACTTTTTTCTTTGTAACTCAGTCAAGTTTTATTTATTTTACATATTTATCACTATGTATAAACTTAAAAATTTAAATATACTTCTTTTTTTCAACTCAGAAGTCATCCAAGACCCTTTCTTTTTATATGTTGATTTCCATAGAGTGAATATTATATCATCATGGGCAATTTCAAGCCACTAATTTCATGTTAGTGGCCATGGAGTAGGGGAGAGGTATACACAGTTGATTCTTCTGAGCCAGTAACAGATGGTTTCTCCCACATTGCTTTTGTTTCCCATTTCATTCATTCCTGCTCTTAATATTATTTCTGTCATTTTACTTTGTTTTTGTTTTCCTTTTTCTGACTTCTTGAAAAGGTTCTTTTTTTTTTTTTGTATATCATCAGTCATACTTAGCAGATATTATCTTTCTATAAACTGCCCTTGGTAGACATAGTGCAAAAGAAATGAGTGACTTTGGTAAAGATAACACATTCTACTATCCTATAGAGTCCACTAACTTACAGAAATACTAGCCATATTGTAGAACATATGTTTGGTGGTACTTAACTTCACATAGCTGGTCTGAAAATCTGCATATATTTAATTTGGAAAGGATCAAACACGAGCACTGAATGCAGAGCTGTACATTGTCATGAGTTTTATAAGCACTTCAGACCTTCAACAGGACTAGATGATGCACATGGAACCTGTTAAAAAAAAGACCAGACACCAGATGACTAACTGATCTTTATCCATAAATGTGCTTTTAAAGATTCTTCTCAGACTTATCAATTTGTTTATATATTTGAAACAACATCCTATAAAAAAGAAAGAAAGAAAGAAAGAAAGAAAGAAAGAAAGAAAGAAAGAAAGAAAGAAAGAAAAAGAAAGAACATCCTTTTGGGCACCTGGGTGGCTCGGCTGGTAAAGCGTCTGCTTTCAGCTCAGGTCCTGATCCTGGGGTCCTGGATCCAAGCACATCTGGCTCCCTGCTCCACCGGGAGCCTGCTTCTCCCTCTCCCCTCTGCCTACCACTCTGCCTGCTTGTGCTCTCTGTCTCTCTATCAATCAATCAATCAGTCTATCTTTAAAAAAAAAAATAGCATCCTTTCAAAATATCTGGAGCAGCTCTTTTCATTCCTTTTTTAAAAATACCTTGGTGTTTGAGGAGTAAAAAAGCCATGAGTAAAAAAAATTTTTTTAATGCAACGATTTATTTTCTACATTCCCCTGACCGACTTGTACTGCCTTCCACAAATTTCAGATCTAAGTCCACAGATCCTGCCTGTAAACTCTCATCAGGCTCCCATTTTAGCTGTCACATCGCTGCGGAATGGAACTTAGGTTTCACATTCTTTCACTAGACCTCTCCCAATCTTCCATCCAGAGAAGCCACTGGAGTTCAAGGTAAGGTGCCGACGTGGAGAAACGAACCAGGATGAAACCTCAACCGGGGGACGAGGAGGTCGAGGCCTCGGGCTCGCAGCTTGGTTCACCTGCTTGCAGACTCTCCGGGGTCGAGTGCCCCCCGCCCCACTTCCTCCGACCTCCCCTCCCGCCCCCGCCCCCGCCCCCCCCCCACGCGCGCGCGCGCACCTGTACGTAGGAAGCTCGGAGTTAAGCTGTCACCTCTAAAACTCTGTCCAGCTCACATCCCTCGGGTGCAAACGTCCACGCCAAGCCGCCTTGTCCAGCAGGGCTCCAAAGTCAAGCCTTCCGGGCGGCGCGGGGAGAGATACACATAGAAAATTAGATTCCCGAAAGCACAGTCCCTCACAGTGGTTAAAAGCCTCGGGGAGGGGATCCCTGGGTGGCGCAGCGGTTTGGCGCCTGCCTTTGGCCCAGGGCGCGATCCTGGAGACCGGGATCGAATCCCACGTCGGGCTCCCGGTGCCTGGAGCCTGCTTCTCCCTCTGCCTGTGTCTCTGCCTCTCTCTCTCTCTCTGTGACTATCATGAATAAATAAGTAAAATCTTTTAAAAAAAAAAAACAAAAGCCTCGGGGAGAAAGGCACCGGCCCACCGGTAAGGAAGAGGCCGCCGGAGCTGCGACGCCGCCCCACCCGGCCTCCACCGCCGCGCGCCCCAGGCCCCGCCTCCCTCGGCCGCCCCGCAGGTCCGGAAGGAAGTCGCCGCCGTAGGTAAGACAGCGGCGCCGGAAGTCCCGCCCTCCTAGCGCGGTGGACGGGGTCCCGTCGGGGTCACCCCGAGCCGGCTGGCGGGTTCGCCGCTTGAAGCGCGCTCTTAGGTGGTGAGTCCTCCGCGGTTCGAGCCCCCGCCGGGCGGGGCGGGCCTCCCGCGCCAGGACGGCCCCGCACGGCCTCCTTTCGCGGTGTGTGGGCTTCATGGCCTTTTCCTCCCGTCGGCGCCGAGGGGAGCCTGGCCCGGGCGGCCGTGCGTGCGGCAGGTGGGCCCGGCCCGGCCCTGCCGGCTGGTCGTGCCCCGAGCGCTTGGGTTCCACCTTGTGAGCGGGCGCCGCGCCCCGAGCCCGAGCCGCCAGCGGCCCCGCGTCGGTGTGGGAGGCAAGCCTGGGACGCGAGCGCCCTTACGGCCTCGTGAGCTTGGACGCGGCTTGGACGCGGCTTGGACGCGGCGGGTTTCAGGTGCATCGTCGCGCCCGGACGACAGGTTCCCCGTTAACGCCAGTGCTGGTTTGGCCGACAGCCCGAGCGCTCGGAAATGGCGGCCCCGTCCATGAAGGAGAGGCAGGCTTGCTGGGGAGCCCGGGATGAGTACTGGAGGTGTTTAGATGAGAACGCGGAGGACGCGTCTCGGTGCGAGAAGTTAAGAAGCTCGTTCGAGTCCAGTTGTCCCCAGCAGTGGGTAAGGCTGTCCCCGCGCGGGGGCTCGGCGCGTGCGGGAGGCGGTGGAGGCGGTGGAGGCGGTGGAGGCGGCGCGCGCCGCGCGGGGGTGTGTGAGCAGCCGCCGAACCCCTGGTGGTGGTGGTGCCTCCGTGGTCAGGCCGGTAGTCGGCGAAACGCCACCTCACAGTTCACAGGTTTGTTTTCGGTGATCTTTAAACAGTAACCAGAAATTCCGATCCTCTAAGTCGGTAGATTTCTCCAGCATCTTAAGAACGATATTTGAACTTGGGCGAGAGTTGGGCCGTCCACTGGCGTAGCGCTACTATCAGAAGTCAAGCATTCCCTGTTGCCCGCCCAAAATCGTATGGGCAGTGGTAACCAAAATATGAGGAGTGGTTTAGGAAGTAGGAGGATGTTCCCATGATGGAACTGCCCCCCCCGCTGCCCCCCGCTGCCCCCCGCTGCCCCCCTGACAGGTGTTCCCCTGCTCTGCGCGGCACGGCACGTCCTTCCTCTGGGAGAGGGCTGGAGAGGGGAACTCACGCTGAGCTCAGGGAATGTCCTGTTTGCAGGGCGTGACACTCCTGTACCCACGTCCTTTCAGGTGTCTGGTTTGCTCTCCGTTTCGGGGGGAGGCCTCCGAGGGTCAGGGCACATCGTGTTCAGTATTGGTCAGAGGCAGAACTGTGATTCTGAGTCAGGCCCGGCTGGCCGACGTAAGATTGAAACCTCAGTTTGTGCTTTTCCTCTCCGTCATGCTGCTGCAGAGTACGCCACAAAGCTGTGAGGGCAGCTCACCTTACAGAGGACATGGTTTAGGGTCTTCACGGTCACACCTCACGTTTTCAGATGAGGTGGAGGTGGCGCGCAGGAGACCACGAGGGGTGGGGGTCATCCTGGAGGGCTGCCCTGGGAGTGAATGCAGTCACGAGAGGTTGCTTTAGATGAAGTCTTCCGTAGAATAGCATAATGCAACCGATCTCATGGGATTCCTAAGAAGATTCAGTGTCTTACTTGACTTAGAAACAGAAACCTGTTAACTATGGGGTTTTGTGATTGCACTGTATAATGATTTAGGCAAAAAAATGTTATACATCCCTGGTTTTCCCCTTAGGATTGATGCACCGAGAACTCGTGATTTAAGAAGTAGGTGGAGAATGTGGGCGCTTGGGCTGACGCAGACCCAAGTCCTTGAGTGGCCTTTACTGCCTGTGCTTTCCTTTTCTCACTGGGCTCTCCAGTCCCTTGGTCACTGAGAGCAGGGCAGGACAGGGGCCGTGGGGGCCAGGGTGTTGGTGGTGGATTGTTCTCACCCCATCCCCACATTTTCCCAGGAGAATTTTGTCCCCGTGAGACTTGACTTTTGCCAGCCTCGCCATGATTTCCCACTCAGGTGGCATGTCATAATTATGTGGAGATTTTTTTAAAGAGTTGTGTGCTAGACCTCACCTCAGATTTACTGAATATCTAGAAATAGAACTTGAGCTTTTGAAACAGCTCTGGCTCTACAGGTGATTCTGATAACCATGGATGGGGATCTCTGTCTCAGCCGCTCTGGAAAGTCACACTTCATCCTGTTTTTAGCCTTTCTCTCTCCTTGGAAACTCCCTGCTTTCTCTGGAGCCTGGTGATTAGCAGACCCTCCCACTCCCCTACTTTCTGGGCAGCTCCTGTTCTCTGTATCATAAAAGATTTTTTACAGCCAGTCAGTTGCTTCCTTATTCTCCGTCCCTTCCACTTGGCACTGGTTGAGTGCCATGCCCAGGGGGCCGCACCGTTCCAGGGTACTCTGTCCTGGGCACAGCTCATTTACTGAGTATGTGCTCTGAGCACTTCGGAGGTGTCCTCCAACTCTGCTATTCCTCATGGTAACTGTCACCTAGTTTTGCAGACAAGGACACAGGTGCATTGAAATGAAGTCACCGGTAAGTGCAGAGCCTGGATTTGAGCTTGGAGGTCTGGACCTCATGCTTTTCCTTTCTCCACATATTCCCTCCTGGACCTGTCATGCAAGAAGAGGATCCATGAGAATAGCCTGCACAAGCCGCATGGTGTTCTAGAAACTTAGTCATAACTGTTAGTTATTTAAATACAAAGTGCTATCTCCTTGGATGCCATTATGATTCCTTCCCCTAGTCTTCCTCCTCCATGTCTAGCGGCCATGCCTCTTGGGGAAATATCCTGTGCATCTCTTAAATGCCAGGGCTCTTCTAAGCTGTTCACTACCTCAAGGCAGTCTGGTCTCAGGTGTTGATGCCTAGCCTGCAGCTCCAGCCTGGCCCTTTCTCCAACCAGAGGCACTTGCTGAGCTAAAGCTGCTTAACAGGTTCAGATGTTTAGGTGCTCACAGGACTAACTTTGACCTCTGCATATATGAGACTGAACGCTTATCCATCCTGTACCCAGCAGGCCTCTCGTCTGTGCTCCTAACCTCAATGAAAGACACCAACATCAGCACAGTCCCAGAGGCCAGGGCCTCTGCCTTTAACTGAGTGAGCATCCTCAGGAGGGAAGCAGGACAACACAGCAGCCCTGCAGTGGGGGCAGGCCCAGGTTGTTTAAGGAACAGCAAGGAGAGAGTAGCAGAAGTTAGGGTCAGAGAGGTGATAGGAGGCCAGGGCCAGTGGTATTTACTCGGAGTGCTATAGGAAGCTACTGGAGAGCTCTGAGTTTGGCAGGAAGGGGACCTGGGAGGATAGAGAGGGAATCCGTGGAAAGGTGGTGGGGTCAGTGGGTTGTCAGCATTAGGGTCCTACAGAGAAAAGGAAGAAGCAGTGATTGGAGAATTGGCTACTCAGGATGGGGCGGTTAGGGATAAGCTGGTGAGGCCAAGACTACACTGTGATCCTGGTATGAGACAGGTTGCCGGACAGGATCACTGACGAGGTTAAGGAGCTGAGAGATCCAAGCTGCAGCACTGACCATGCGGACATGGAGCCATGCAAGCAATAGGACAGGAGTGCTGGTTTAGTGAGCAGTCTGCAAAGATGTAGCAGACCCCAACTGAGGAGGGAGGCAGTGTAGCCAAGTGTTCCAGCTGACTTCTGCAGCTTTTGATAGTGTTGTGTTTGTTGTAGGTGTTTAGAACACTCTCACAGTTCTTCCATAGTGTTCCTTCCTAGCCTGCTCCCACCTCACCTATGAGCTCTGCTCAGAGATTGCCTGTTGAAGTCGTACCCAGTAGGCATACACTAGAAACGGAGAGACTTTTCCAGAGCCAAGTGTGAGAAGGGGGAGGTACGTGGGGGGAAGGGGGGTCATAAAAGTATTGTTTGGGTCCAGTCTGAGGCATTTTTTTTTTATTAGCTTTAATTTTCATTCAGTCTCGTACTTGTGTGTTTTATACAGTAGGAACTAAGGCTCAGACTTTGTTCGAGGTCAGCTAAGCAGTAAGTAGTAAATAAATGTGTTACATAGTAAGTATGCCATACAACTAAAATGCTGTCACCAGAATGAATTTCTCTTCTCTAGTGCTTTGCTGCTTTGATGGCGCTCAGTAGCCTAACTTATGTAACAGGCCTGTTGAAAGTCCTGTTGGTTCTTCACTGAGGAAGGAGCAGGGATGAGATCCATCATTCATCCCAGCATTATCCAAGACACTTGATCCCAATGTCACTTTCAGAAATCCCAGTGTTCTGGCATTGGTGTTGGTGCTGCTTTCTGCCTCTCCTGTAACAGCTCAGGGATACCAGCATCACGTGTATACAGTCCTTCTCAGTCAGTGCTCCTTGGCTCCTGAGCCTCTAGAGAGGTTACATGCCCCATGTTGAGGATCCTCGAATGTTAACTGAGAAGGGGAAAGCTGGAGTAGAGAGCGGTCCAGGCAGAGTGTGGGCCATGCAAAGGCATAGAAGCACGGCGCACAAGAAATAAGCACATCCGGGAACCAGAGCAATGCTGAACGGCCAGCATTTCAGGGGCTGGTGGCAGATTCAGAAAGGACTGACAGGTGGGTAGAGAATAAGCCATGGACAGCCTTGTTTGAGAAGTTGGATGTGGAGCTTAAAGTCTGTAGGGGTTGCCCTGAAACACCTTCCAGCAAGGGACATGACCAGATTTGGGTTTCACAAAAGATCATATTTGGCAGCGGTGTGGCCGGTGAATTAAGGAGGGTAGAGAAACTGGTTCAAGTCCTATTACAACAGTCCGAATGAGAAACGAGGGCCTGTCTGGTGTTACGGAGAGGGAGTGGGATCGAAGCATTTAGGTGGACAGAGGTGCGTTCACTGAAAGAAGTATTAAGAGAAACACATTTGAAAAAGAGCTTGGTTCGGGATGAGTTGGGACCAACGTGCTAATAGGACATCTCCATGGAATTATTGGATAGGCAGTTGGAGATGTGACAGGATCTGTCGCAAAGATCTGTTAACACAAATGTACAGACACTGTCCACTTCTTCCTGTGGTGTCTTTTATGCAGAATACCCATCCTAGCCAACGGGGGGAGGTACCCTGGGGTCTGGTAACCAGGGAGAGTGCACATCAGAGGAACTGTGCGCATCTCCCAAGCACAGGAAAGGAGTCATCAGAGGATTTCAGGGCAGGGTGGAAGTTAGGTAAAAGTGAAATGAAGCCATGCTCTGATAAGCTCAAAGCAGTGCTGCATATAAACAGGTCATTGTCTGCTCTGGACTGAGAAGGGACCCAGGGTCCTATTTTCTTAAAGATGAATGTCATGTTCAGAAATCCCTTATCTGAGATCTTGCTGCTGGGCTGGAAATCAAGGCTGCTTCCTTGTGTTAGATTGCCTTAGATCCCCTAAGCAAAGGTAGGAGATTTCATTTTTATTGATATAATACATTTCTGATAGTCTTTGGTTTTCAGAGGACAAGGTTTCTTGGCCAGCAAGAAAGCCATAGTCAGAGGGGACTGTTAGGACATTCCATGGCTATTGTCTCCTCAGGAGAAATTTTAATTCTATACCTGGCTTATCTGTCCCTCTCATGTCAGCTTGAGACAGAAGTATACATTCTCAGTCTAACTTTCACATGGACTTTAATTCTTAAGTTATTCAGTGGAGTTAAAAAGCTTTTAACAGAAGAACTAGTGTTTTTTTTTTATCCTGACAATGAGAATGGTGTTCTGTCTCTGCCTTGTTTACAAAGCAGCTCAGATACAGAAACTGTGACAGTTTTGTCTGTGACCTTGATTTTCTACGGTAGTTTTACTGTTTCAGGACATGGGGCTTTAAGGTACTTCAAATTCCCTATGGCAAGAGAAGGATATAAAAAAGGTAAAGTCTTTATTAAAGTTTTACCATCCACTCAATTTATAAATACAATATTTAACTATTTGTTACAATGTGTGTTTCTGGATGAGATAAATGATCACAGCTTATAAACTACAAAATTTGCTGAACTTACAGTTGATAAGAAAAACTTGTACAGGGGCAGCCCTGGTGGCTCAGCGGTTTAGCACCGCCTTTGGCCCGGGGCCTGATCTTGGAGACCCAGGATCTAATCCCACGTCAGGCTCCTTGCATGGAGCCTGCTTCCCCCTCTCCCTGTGTCTCTGCCTCTCTCTCTGTCTCTCATGAATAAATAAGTAAAATCTTAAAAAAAAAAAATTGTACAGTGTCTTTAAATCATGAAGTTTTATGGTCTATGAACTCTCTGAGCCCACATGGCAAGGTTCACAAGTCCAAGCACCTTTCTCCAGAAGGTTCATGGGTTATTTGAATTCTCAACAGGATCTATAACTCAGAAAGGGTTAGGGCTCACTGGTCTACACCTTCTGTGGGGACTCTTCTACATCATAGGCATTGATTCAGAATGATTTCTAGAATACAAATCACTTATGCCACTTACTCAACTTATGTTGATAAGTTGTTAACATTTAAGTCAGCTGCAAAACTTGCCCTTATTTCAAACACTTTTTTCTCAACAGATAAAATATTTTGATAAAAGAAGAGACTACTTAAAGTTCAAAGAAAAATTTGAAGCAGGACAATTCCAGCCTTCAAAAACAACCGCAAAGTCCTAGGCTGTTCCTGAACTTTTCAGAATGGTTGAAATTATTATTTCTGACCTTGCAAAAATGCTCCATGGACTATGGGACAGTAGTAGTTTGAATCATGGTGAACAACAGGACTGTTCCCACATATACAGCTCTTTAAAATGATCAACTAATGGATTCCATCATTCATACTATGAAGAATTGAAATGGTATGAAATATGCTTAATTTTAGCAAGAAAGGTATATTTCAAGAAAAATTAAAGCCTATTATAAAAACCCATGTCCTTTTTTTTTTTTTTTTTTTCCGGTTGGAGTAGTAGGTGAATATTACACATCTAAATACAGGCATACCTTGGAGATATTGCAGATTCAGTTTTAGAACACTACAATAAAGCAAATATCACAATAAAACAAGTCAGGTGAGTTTTTTAAATTTCTCAGTGCATAGAAAAGTTATATACTATACTGAAATCTTAAGTGCACAATAGCTTTAGGTCTAAAAAAAAATGCCCACACCTTAAAAAAAATGCCAACCATCATCTGAGCTTTCAGCGAGCCATACTTCTTTTGCTGGTAGAGTGTCTTGATGTGGATGGCTACTCAAGGTGGTGGTTGCCAAAGTTAAAAGTAATGAAGATGGACTCTTCCTTTCACAAGTGATTTCTCTTAACACCTTATGCTGTTTGACAGCCTTTTACCCACGGTAGAATTTGTTTCGAAATTGGAGTCCTCTCACATCCTGCTACTGCTTATCAACTAAGCTTAGGTAATATTCTGAATCCTTTGCTGCCATTTCAACCATCTTCACACCGGGAGTAGGTTCCATCTCAAGAAACCACTTTGCTCCTCCATAAGGAATAACTCATCCCTTCAAATTTGATCGTGAGATTTGCAGCAACTCAATCCCATCTTCAGACTCCAGTTCTCTTACTGCTTCCACCACAGCTGCAGTGACTTCCTCCCCTGAAGCTCTGAACCACTCAGAGTCATCCATCGGGGGTTAGAATTCACTTCTTCCAAACTCCAGTTAATGCTGATTATTTTCACCTCTTCCCATGAGAGTCATGGATGTTCTTCATGGCATCTAGAATGGTCCTGCATCAGGCTCCCCATGAGGAGCCTGCTTCTCCCTCTGCCTATGTATCTGTCTGTGTCTCATGAATAAATAAAAACTTAAAACTGAGAAGTTCCAAGAACTAAGTGAACCTTAGATGGCAAGAAACAAGGTCAGCATACAAAAGAAAACCTATTCCTGTAAACCAGAATGGAATAATTGGAACATAAGATAAAAAATGTACCATTTATAGTGGCACTTAAAAAAAATAAAAGGAATACTTGGTATAAATCTATGTATAGGACCTATATCTGAGAACTATTAAAGCACAAAATACTTAAAGTCAGAGAAGATCTAATTAGATACACTGTAGTCAAGGACTGGAAAACTATTCATAATAAATGTTAAATTCTCCCAATTTGTTCAACAGAATCCTGATCAAAATCCCAGCAAGCTTTTTTTTTGTGTAGACACTATTGACAAGCTGACTCTAAAACTTGCATGGAAAGGCAAAGGACTGAAATAGCGAAAACAGTTTTGAAAAGAACAGACTTAGATGATTCATATTACGTGATTTCAATGCTTATTCTAAAGGTAATCAAAACTATGGTATTGACAAAGGACTGACCTCTAATTTAGTAGAACAGAAAAGAGAGTTCAGAAATATACACATGAATAGAGTTGGCTGAGTTTCAACAAAGGTAACTCAGTGGAGAAAGAATCGTCTTTTCAACAAATGGTGCTGGCAAGTACACATCCATATGAGACAAAATGAACCTTAACACACCTCACACCTTATTAAAAACAAACTCAAAATGGATTATAGCCCTAAATGCAAAATATAAAACTTCTAGAAGAAAACAGAGAGGAATTCTGCATTTTAGGTTTGAAAATAATAAGTTTTAGATCACAATATCAAAAACACAGTCCAGGGATCCCTGGGTGGCGCAGCGGTTTGGCGCCTGCCTTTGGCCCAGGGCGCGATCCTGGAGACCCGGGATCGAATCCCATATCGGGCTCCCGGTGCATGCAGCCTGCTTCTCTCTCTCTCTCTCTCTCTCTCTCACTATCATAAATAAATAAATTAAAAAAAATTAAAAAAAAAAAAAACCAAAAACACAGTCCATGGGAAAAAAAAAAAAAGCTGAACTTTATAAAAACTAAAAATGTTTTCTCTGTAAAAATTCTGTTAAGAAAAAGATAAATTACAGACTAGGAGAAAATATTTATAAGTCAGATGTCATAAAGACCTTGTATCCAATAAAGAATTCTTAAAACTCTTAAAAGAAAATCACCCAGACTTTAAAAAATGGACAAATTATGTGAATATTGTCATATGTCTATTCATAGTACTGAATAATAACTAATATATTAGGAAAAGATCCTCCATATTAGTAGAGTAAGGCAAATTAAAACCAGGATGCTCTATCACTACCCACTTATCAGAATAATTTAAAAAGCTGACGGTACCAAGTGCTAATAGGGCTACAGAGCAACAGAAACTTATTTTCACTGGTGGGAATGAAAAACAATAAAAACCCCTTTGGAAAACAGTTTGGAATTTCTTATAAAGTTAAACTTATGCTTACCTTATGACCCAGCAATCATACTCCTATTCTACCAAAGGAACTGAAAACAAAACCTATGTCTATAGCAGCTTCACACTGGAAACAACCCAGATTCCTACAACAGAGGAGTGGAAAAAACAGCTACATCTAACAATAGACTACTACTCAGCAATAAAAAGGGAATGTGTATCGTGTAGCAACATGGATGAACCTTCTATATATTTTTCTGTAAGAATCCAGACCCAAAAGGTGATGTAGTATATGCTTCATTTACAGGATTTTGGAAAAGGCAAAATAAGTACAGAAAACAGATCAGTGGTTGGGAATGGGTTAAAGGATCAACTATGAGGGGGTCACACCAAGGAATTTTTAGGTGTTTAAATGGTCTTTATGTCACTGGTGGTGAATTTGCGAGTACACACTCGAGTGACTATGATTGCATGTATATTAAAGTAAGATCAACCAGGATTTTGGAGGGATTCTCATTTAGAATGTAGACTGTGATAAATGAATATAATTATATTATAAATACAGGACATGAACTCACGGGAGGTAGATAAAAATGAAGCTGATCTAAATAACTTTGAAAAACGGTGTTCTGACAGGATCCTGTAAGGCTACAGACCAAAAGAACTTATAAACTCTGCTAATTTTTTTTTTAACTCTGTGAAATTTAACAGAGTTCTGGTTCAGCAACTCTCAAAGTACACTAACGAGGAGTGTGTTTAAGTCAGAAAAAGCAGTTAAAAATAAATGTCAGGATTAACCTTGTGGAGCTAAGAATTCACATTCATATTCACATCTAGACATTACACTTGTGCACACATGGGCTGTAGACACCTAGATTCCCTAGCTCCACCACCGAGAAGGCCTGCTTCTCAGTGCAGCAGCAGCAAGCACGTCTAGCAACCAGTGCTCCTTGGAGAACTATTGGATTCTAGAACTGGGGGGGGGGGGGGGGGGGGCAGAAAATGAAAGTGCCTGGAACACTGTATACTACCAGAGAGTAAGAAGTTCTAAAAGAAAAAAAAAAAAAGAAGAATTAGAAGAATGGGAACAGGTCGAAAGGACACAAGATCCAACCATCCACACTCATCTGAACAAATGACTGAATCTGGGACTAGTATTCCTTACAGAAGGATCCAAAGCCCTAAATGTAGAAGAAATGAGGGAAACACCAATTATCACCGTGAGAACACTGCAGGGAGCATCCATGGACGAGTACTAGAATGAGTGGGCAACACAATCAGGAAAAAGTTGATCAGCAAGCTTCCAAGTGTGTCTCTCACAATACTTCTTAATTACTGTGGTACTTTCAGCAACTACCCCCAGTCTTTCATACTCCTCCTTCCAAGAGGTGAAGTTTATTTTCTACCTGTGAGTGTAGGCGAGGCTTAGTGACCTGGCTTCTAACAAAGCATGGAAACTAAGAAATAGCAACTTCATTGAGAAGAACATGGCAAACACTGCCTTGACAAATGACCAGGGGAGTACGTCATGCTGAAATGTGATCACCAGGGGGTCCTTCTGAAAACCCCAAACCTCAGTCTGACCATGAGAAAACAAACATTAGACAAACCCAAATCATGAGATGTTTACAAAATACCTGACTCAAAAGTGTCAAAAGTCAGGGAAGACCATGAAAGATGGAAATTCTGGCAGAGATTGCAAGAGACTAAGGAGACCGGACCACCTAATGTGATGCAGTGTCCTGAAACAGAGAAGGGACATTAGTGGGAAAATAAGAAATCTCAGGATAGGTCAGATCTGTAGACTGCAGTTTAGTGAACAGCACCATTCCCAATGTTAATTTCCTAGTATGGGTTAAGTGTCCACAATTCTGTAAGACCCTAATAGAGGCATCTGGGTGAAGGCCATATGCAAACTATGTACTATCATTGCAACTCTTCTGTCAAACCCAAATTATTTTAATAAACCTACAGAAGACAAAATATATATATATATATATACTGGTAACAGATTCTGAGGTTTAAATATTACTAGAAAGGTCCCAGACATGATTGAAGTTCATTGCTGGATGGTAATAAATGGTCACCATTAAATTTTAAAGTAATCTCAATATCAAAAACACCCTCAGAAGAACAGAAACAATAAATCAGACTTCCTGGGCTCCACTCTTACTCTTGGTGATGATGTGCAAGAATAATTCACTGTCTTTGCGTCGATGTGGACATTTGTCAAAATACAGACTATTTCTAACCATTATCTGAACTCTGAACAAAGGCAGTATATGAAAATTTTCCAAAACTTTGAATGATATGAACGATAATGGCCTATTTCATGGCTTTAAGAGGAAATTAAAACCTATTACCTATTATGAATTCTATAGGGAAGCTGCCTTAACATCTTGCCAAGCGTCTTTCCTCCCTGGATTAAGCACATATAAAGCAGCAAACAGAGGCTAATGACTCCCCTCCCCACAGGACTTTTGCGTCTACCCCACTGTGCCTCCTGAAGATGGAAAGGTATGGTGTTCAAAGGTAACAGCTGCTGTAATTCTCCTTACTGCCATCACAGTCCGCGTTTCTGACAATACCAGTTTCTATGAAAGGAGTTATTTTCTTAAAATACATTGTTTTATTTCCACAATTACTTAAAATATTTTATTAACAAAGCAATGCAATTTAGCTAAAAATATTTATTCAAGGAGACAACATATAGTGATATATTTAAGGCACATGAAAAAGTTTTGGCATTATGTTGGTAAGAAAAAAATACAAATTATCCTAGTAAATTTTATAATCGATTTCATTAGTACACATAGTTTTTAAAAAATGTTTCAAGAGCACCGATAATTCATCTCAGATAAGGCACAAAGTTCATGACTCGGTGTCCTCATGCCTAAGCAGCTGCTGTCTGGTATATTCCCAAATCAGGAGAGCCCCACTCACATGGACGTTAAGTGAGCGGATAATGCCCTGCTGAGGAATTTCCACACAAACATCCAATTCCTGGATCAGATTGGCTGGAATTCCCTCACGTTCATTTCTGATGATGAAAAATGGAAGAAGAATGGTTAGTTTTCTTGTAATAAGTTTTTTTTTTCTCAGATATCCTGAATGTCACTGAAGAGTCAGATTAACAAAATGAAGTAAAGTCTGTGGCACCAGGGAAATAAGTAACAGATTTGTGGGTTGATTTAAGGTTCATGTGACCATCCCAAACAGGTGAAATAAAACAAAAACTAGAGATCTTTCCATAAATGTAAGTCAAAACTCCTGATGTGGCTATAAGATCAGAAGTCACGCTGAATTGTAAAATTTCTGAAAGCATTTTCTACACTGAGACTCCAAATGAATCTTCTTACCCTAACAAGAGCAGAGATCTCTCCGGAAAGCTGTATTGCGTCAGGTCCACACTTTTGGCAGTCTGCTCCACGCCAATGACAGTGTAACCTTCTGCTTTTTTCTGTTGCAGAAAGTCGATGAGCTGAGGTGGTTTCACCTTAAAATGAGTATAAAAAGAGGAGAATAATAAATTATTCATTTACAGCTTTGCTTGGAGTACAACCAGAGTTTCAAAATAACTTTTATGAAACTAAGTCTTTTTAAAAGAATAATACTCTTAAACTCCCCCAATATCAAATACATTTATAAAAAGCATTCCTGAGTTGCAACAGGACAATTATTAAAGAAAAGAATTCTAAAAATACAACAACGTGAAAGATAATAAAAGGAATGAGAGGATAGAGGGAGGTGTATTTTGCTGAGTATTATTTTAAGCTATTAAAGCTGGACAGATGTAGTACCCATAAAAGGATGGATACTGGAAGGCAGCGAATTACAAAAATTTGGGCAAATAAACGTTTTAATAATGAATTACTTTCCACCCACCTCTACTAAAGGAAGCCACTGTTCTGCTGAAACACTGAGGCTCTGGAACTGTTTGTCTCTGACGCACTGCAGGCTGTCCACGATGAGTGCCGAGACCCCGAACACCTCACAGGTCCGGCATAGCCCTGCAGAGGACAGTCCAGGCCACCACTGAGCTCATTTGGGCCATAACCCTCTGAAGCTCCCAAGCAGGGTTACATATGGAAAATGGGCACAGTGGTACTAGACTGAATAGAAAACTTCAGGAGCAAAAGATTTCAAGCAAGCCCTCTGGCAAACTATAATTTTACCTCCTAAATTAGTTGGCTTATCAATGAGCGAGGCCACTACAATCAGTCTGCTAACTGACTTTCCAAGTCTGGCAACACGATCCTGAAATACTACCTCCAGATCTAAATCTGGAGCACTGTTTTTCCAGGGGATAATCTTCTTCTGAACATCAGTCCATTCTGATTGGCTATCTGCCTCTCCTGAGTGAGAGCCTGGGAAGGAAAAGGAAATAATCCCATATATAAAAATCTCGTTGTGTGTATATATATATATATATATACTATATATTACACACACACACACACACACACACACACATTTAAAAGTTTAAAAATAATAGTTTAGAATGAGATTTATTAACTAAAAATTTTACTTAGATTCAGGTACAACTGCCATTTTCAACAGTAATTTTAAATTTTCAAATCCAACTCCAACAACCAATATACTATATTTGATGAAAATAAAAGATACACTTGTTGTCTACATTTTAGCATATCCAAAATTGGGAAGGATCTTTGAATCCAGAAGGTATCCTAGTTTGGTATGATTTTGGCATTTTTTTCTTCAAGGTCCATAAAATAATGGTATATCTTACAAACAATAATATATTCCTGAAAATAAATCTACACAGTCGTTATCCTAAATTATTTTACAAATACTTGGGGGAACTTTCCTAAAATGAAGCCTCAGAAGCAATGATCTCTTAGTCAATGCAACATGTACACAGAATGTTAGTAACCTGTCTAATGCAGGGTTCTGAGCTGCAGCCCAGGACTGAGACTGTCCTTCCAGGCTCTTCCTCAACTGCTCTACTCCAATGTGTTGACTGAGCCATCAAGGGGCACTTAGTTTACCGGGATGGAAGAGACATGCAAACACTAGAACATGGTACCAGTGTGAGGATATGTAAGGTCTGAGGGAGGGTGGGAAGGGCAGAGAGAAAGACCCAGGAAGGCTCAGGGAGGAGTCTGCAAACAGCTCAGGAAGGGCAGTGCAGACTGGAGACAGTATGTGCACGAGCGCAGGATGCAGGAGTGACCCAGGCAGCAGCAGAACTTTGGTATAACTCACAGCCACGGATGAAACGTGATGGCTCAGACCATAAAAAGATAATACAAAACTTGTATATAATAATGAAGAACTGACTCTACAGATAGGAGTCATTAAAGGGTTTTATGAAGGGGGAGAACAGTACTAGTTCTGTGTTTTAGGGAAAAGCCTCTTAAAAGTGAGGTGGAAGACAAGTTGGGGCCTTTGCACCAGTCCAGGCAAAGACAAAAGACAGTCTAAATCAAGTCAAGGCAAGAGCAGAAGCAGCAGCCTGATCCAGGAGACAGAATCACCACAATTTGGTGATGGATCTATGTGGCATGAGGGAACAGAATGACTTCTGTGATGACTGAGGCGCCTCATTAACAGGTTTAGGGAGGAGGCAAGTGTGGGCAGAAAGGGAAATCCAATTTGAATATGTTGAATTTAAAGAGTTTATGGCATATCTGGGTGCAAATGTCCAGCAGGCTCAGGAAAGAGGCCAGGCAGGGATAAAGATTAGAGATTACATTATATAGGTGGTGGTCTCGAGTTGGGGAAATTAATAAAAATGCAGAATAAGGAAATCAGGCCAGTGAAAACATTCAGAGGATGCTAACACTAAAGTCTTGGCATAAAAACCATATTGCAACACCCTTCTCAGTACCACACACCAAACAAAACAGAGACTTCCCCTTAGCCTGTTCCCCACCCAAGTGACACCTGGCTTCTCTGTTCCGCTACGTGGCCCAAGGCAAACCAGCTGCCCACATATGTTGTCTTTCTCTGTTCTGTCTCTGCTCAGCCTGATGTCCTCACCACACTGATGAAATAGCTTTTGTAACCATCTTTGCCCCAAAATCTCCCTGTTTGATGTCCTGTTTTGGGAAAGCTCTTCCTCCAGATCTCTGCTCAACTGCTCTCACTTCACATGGGTCTCTACTCAATGTCAGCTCCTGAGAAAGGTCTCTTTGATTCTTGGTCACTATCTCTACCCTGCTTCATTTGTTTTCATGCTACCACTTATGCAGGAATGAATGTAAGCTGTACAAGGGCATGGACTTGGCCTAATGCTAGTTTACATGAAGCAATCAGTAAGTCTTTGTTGAAAGAATAAATAAATCTAAGGTGATTATGTCTTAAAATGTATTAGTGAACCATCTAGAGTGTTTGATTTAAAAAATGCACTTTCCCAGAACTCTCTTCCAGACATACTGAATTAAAATTAAAATCTAAGTATCTCTACTTTGCACAAGTTGTCCAAGGATTTTTGAAAACATTATAGTTTTAGGGAACTACAAATGTACAGGACAAAGAGGAGAAGAGTCAGACTGAAGAAGAAAATCAGGACAGCCAGAAGCTACCAAGTTAAGGTCTCATAAAGGGGAGGTATGATAAGAGAATACCCACTCAGGCTCTGTGAAGGAGACCATTTCTGATTTTCTGAAAGAATCCTCGGTGGTTCTGGGTCAGAGAGAGCCAGAACGAGGACCAAAGGAGTGACAGCGATGAGGATGATGGTAGATGACCACTACACCATCATTAACATGAGCTGTGGTTTCAAAAACGGGTGGGAGGCTTGGTCCTTGGCTTTTCTGGGCATAACTGGACTGTGGGGATGGGGAGGAGGTGAGCCATAGAAGGAAACATGGGTCCTTAGGAAAGCTGAAGGGAAGCAGTAAGCTACGGAGGGGTGGAGAAACAGGAGGAGGAGGTCCAACAGATGAGTGAGGTCCAACCAGACTCACAACTGATGAGAAACCAGAGTTCTGCTTTATTCCTAAATGGGTCAAGAAATGAGATTTCATAATCTGACCCTTTTTAAAATCTGTATTTTTATATTAATATATGATGGAAGAGTAGTGAATATTAGTTAATAATATTTCAAAGAAAAGAGAAGCTACTAAGCTTTATAGAATAAAGCAGATCAGGCTCTCTTTGGCTTGTTATAGTGAAGCCAACCAATTAGAAGTCCCAAAGTTATACCACATTTTTTCCACGGTCTTTTCTCTAAGTGGAGGAGCAGAGTTCACCACATCAGTGAAGGGAAGTATCAACTCCCAGTTCTCAGTAACTGAAACAACTCAGGCTAATCAAGACAAACAGACGGAGAAAAAGAAAAGTGTTGTACCTATGTCCTGCTGAGCCCAGTCACCTGGTTTTAGTTCACAAAGGTGAGTTGGAGAAAGGTACCATTGAAATCCTGCATCCAAAGGGATATCCGTGAATCTGGTGAATTTACCAATGGCGATCCATTCATCTTCAACCAGGCCTGAAAGGCGTGGAAAGATGTAAAATATGGTCTGAAAAGAGAATTGTAAAATCTGAATGTTTTTCCCTTAAAAAATAACAAAAAAAAATACATGGTAACATGTTTAAGATACAACTTATTTACTGTGATTGATGTATTCTCCCAAACTATCACAATGATTATATTACATACTTTCATTTATATCTTGTAGCAACTATATCTATACATATTTCTCATCTTCTCTAAGCAATCGGGATTAATTGAGGAAATTCTTGAGGCAGGCAGATCGTCTACTTGGGTATTTCTCACTGAATGTAATAAACTACTGTGCTCTTAATAAAAGCAAAAAGTATTTTAGGATTAATCACTATTAATGCTGGGCAACATTTAGGTAAGTGCTATTTGTTGATAACCGAACACCTCTGTAAGCGATCAAGTTCAAGCTCTTTTGATGCCAAATATTTCCTCTTGCTACCATTAGACAAATTTGGAATCTGAACTTTGTCTTGACTGTGTATTAGTAGCTGTGATTCAAACAGCCACTCAGCCTTTCCTGGCTTCAACCTCTTCATTTGTAAAACGAGGATAAAATTGGGTTAAAAGAGCACATCGAGGTGTGTGTGAGCTGCACA